TAAATCTCGACTAGTAGATGCGAGTACTAATTTATGTACATCAGGCATATAAATAGCATCTGTTATCCACATTCCAGCTCGACGACGATTTTGTCCTGTACTACCTATATTATTACCACTTGTTCCATCATCAAAATCATCAATGACGGAATAAACTTTTTCTAGATTAAGATTTGGTGTCCATAAACCTAAATAACCTTCTTTACTTATATTAATAAATCTCACTGGATTTTCTAAATGAAGAATTTTTGCTGTTAATTCTTGCTAAAAAAAAAAAATTTTTTTAAATTTGTTTTTTGAACTTAAAAAAAATATAATAAAAACTTTATTATGAACGACATGTCGAATTTTTGGTTCATTGTTAAAAGGTGATATACGAAGAGTATTTGCATAATCTTCATCTTGATAAAATTGAAGCATATATGTACAAAAATCATTCCAATTAATTAATCCTGTTTCTTTTGAATTAAGCTAAATAAATAAATAAAAATTTATTTATTTCATAATAAAATTTAATCATATACTTTATCAAATAATTTTTCTAATTGATTTCTATATTGAGCTAAATCTAATATAGATTCAAATGAGTCAATAAATTCTTCTCTATTTAATGAACCTATTGGGCAAAAAAAAAAATAATTATATTTTATAAATATTAATGAAAAAAATATGTCTTTTACCAGTTGTTTTATCATTTGGTTTTATATTCGTCTCAAAACTATCAATTGTTGTACGGTCAAATCGTTCACGAAGAAGACGAAAATCTTCGACACGTAATTTTTTTTCAATCGTAAGTGATTCATTACTAAATATAAAATATATTTAATAATAAGATAATTTTCTTCTGTTTCATTATTCTCATACTCGAATTTGTTAGTGATATACATTAAGAAAAAAAGAAAGTCCGAACTGCTATTCTTCTTCTTCTTATTACTATTATCAAGTTACTTTATTTCAACTTTTCATATTTGATAGAGAACAACAAAAAAAAAGTGAAGCATTGAAATTTGAGAATATTTCAACTCGTTAATGTTCTTCATAGTATACATATCAATTACCTGTCAATTTGAAGAAGAGCTTCATTGTTGTTTGATGCAGTTGTTTCATCTTCAGTTTTTGTATTTAAATTTACGTTCGTTGTCATGATACTTTAATTTCGTTTTTCTTTTTTCACTATTTTCTTGTTTTGTCTAATCTTTTAAAATATTTTTATTATTGTCAACTAAATACTGAAAACATGATTATTATCGATAAAACTGTTGTCGACATAAACCAAAACAAGACTTTTTTTTTTATAGGGCTTCTTTTCTTTAAGTTTTTTTTTTTCAATGCTTTATCGCTCTTTATGTGTGGTATGTTGTCTTTTTTTGTGCTCGTTTCTTTGGTTGTCACCTTATTAAACAGCAACCGTCACTTAGTTCTCTTGTTCTTTTAGCAGTCGCGACAACGTAAGACAGAATTAAAAAACATTGGAAAAAAAAGAGACGAGGAAGAAGAAGAGAAAAAAAAGTTAGTAATGCGATCGGGCATGTAAAGAAAGATCTGAAGAAGTTAAAAGCCATTATATCAAACGAGAGAGAGAGAGACAACCAAATGCAATCGAAAGACCAATTTTTTTATGATAATAATTTTCCATAAAATCAAGTGTAGACTTCTTGAATGCAAAAAAAGTAATAAATATTTAACGATTTAACGAAAAAAAAAGTTATTATTGTTATTACTTCTATTTTTGACCATGAAAACATGTTGAAAAGTTGTTTTTTTTTTTGAAGTTTCACGATTGTTCGCCCACTAAAAATAGGTTAACGTGTTATAACTTGTAGGGTTTTATTTAAAACAACTTTTTAATAAGTATTTACGATCAAACAAAAAGATAGCGAGCAAAAGTGCGCACAAAACAACTTTGTCTGTTCTGTCTTGATGCCTTACTCAGTCCTTTCAGATGACAGAACAAGACTGTAAGAATCCTTATTTTAACTGTTGATCACTAAAGTACATATTAGTTATCTTATAGCTGATCTATTTCAAATATAACAATTATAGTCTTCAATAATAATTAATATTATAAAATACAAAATAATATAGAAATATCTTGAGTTATTATTTTAATTATGTGTTCATTATAGAAAATAAGTATAACATATATGAACTTGCCTAATTTCATCATAATTATCTAAACACATTGTAATTGCTATCAATAAAGCAAATAGAAAAATGAAAAAAATACTTCATTATAAAAATAATACCAAGAAAAAGACAACAATTATAAAACCATAAAAAAAATCAAATGTTTTTATAAAAATATTTAATTTTTTTTCTTTTTTGCATTGTCCTACACAACAAAATGCTATTCAACTGTTTAAGAATAAGGCTAACTCTTCTTTCTTATATAATTAAACTGGATTCTGAGAACTTTCTTTCAACACTATCTGCTGTAGTAGGTATTAAGTGAATAGATTGAGCAAATCGATATAAATGAGGAGGTGGGTCTTGTTTTTCTTTTCAAAACAGTAAAGAATGAAAGAGTTAGTTTTGATTTATCAAGTTCTACATTACGATAAAAATCAAAGTCATTGACTTTTGTACCATGGGATGAAACAATTTCTGTTTCTTCTTCAACATCAAAACTGATTGATTCAAATCGACTAAATAAATTTTTTTTTAAATTTTATATGTAATAGTTTGACAGTTTCTTATCGATTTAATTCAGACGTGAGCACAGAACAATTATTTCAGTTCTATTTTGTACCTAGTCTTCGTCATAACATCTTATTTTCCTTAAGCTTTGTCAAGTTTTATAAGGGAATAACTACATAAAGTTTTCATACTGCGTCTATTCATCACTAAAATTTCAAAATCTAATTAAACAAATCATACTTATCAAATGATGTGTAGTTCACATGCACTCCGCATTAATCTATAATTAGTTTAAAGAAAATATAATGTTAATTCTTGCGAGTTTTATTAAGATAATATATCGATAAAGAAGAAAATTAATAGAATTAAATTAGTTCTTCATTGAATAAATTGAATATAAAAAGTAAGAAAATGAAGACTTGATAAAAGAAATAGTATGTAATCATAAAAATCTATTACAGATTTGAGTATCGATTATTTATTGAGAATCACTATTGATGCACAAATCATTTTTTCAAACTTATTGTGTGGTTTCAATTTGTTTTTTTATTCAACTGATCAAACAATATATCTCTTCTAAAAATAACTTTTCTTCAGGTGATTTGTGTCAATTTCTATTCCAACGAGAAAAAATAAGACACGTCAATCTTTATAAACCACAAACGTACTGAATACTTCCTCTGATAATCTTCAAAGTCTCCATCTAATTTCAACTTGATTTCTGTTCTTATATTCTCGTCTAGTATAAAATACAAGTCGATTTTATTCGATGTAATAATTAATGAATGAAATAAATAAAAGAATTATGGTAGAAATATGCTTAAACTTGGATTATCTCTTAAAAATGACTTCATGAACATTTTCATGATTCTTTTAAGTACAATAAAATAAAAATAATATCAATCAATAATAAACTAAAAATGAAATTTCATGCTCATTGTCAATATATTTCTGAATAGATCTTAACTGTATACTATTTCAGTTAAATGTTTTCTGTTCTCTCTATCGATATTATTCGAAGATTTAATCATCATTTAAATAAAGAAAAAAACACAATTATAAACAAAAGAAAATCATAGATTATGTTGTCCAAATTTGTATTGTCTCGAAATCAGATTCAATATAATCACGATCAACAATCGGATATTCACATGTACGCTTCATTTTATTATTTAATTGCTTAACAACAATCGATTTAAAACTGTATCGACCTGGATCAGCAAGTAATACATGTATATGATATTGACGAGCAACAATAATTAAATTTAATATTTGTTTTGCAAGTTGATTATCATAACACATATCACCAATGATGAGTAAATCGATTTTACTTTTGTTGAAAGCTAATAATGGATTTTGAAGAAAATTGTCAAAAGAACATTTATCAATGGTGACATTGTTCAATCGAGCATTATGACAAGTGGCAATAAGAGCATCTTGAAGAAAATTAACAAAAAACGATTGACACAATTGCAACTTATGAAATAGTTATTTACCTTTATCAATATCATTAGCAATTACATTGACTGCTCCCGCCATTTTGGCAGCTATTGCACTTGCACCACATCCACATCCGATATCTAATACACGACGTCCTTGAATCAATGACTTATTATCTAACAAATAACTATTGGCAAAAATTGAAAGTTATTGTAAGAAATGAAATAAAAAGAAAATACATACCGAGCTAGTCCTTGACTTCCAGGCCAAAGAAAAGCCCACCATGGATCAGATCGATCTAGTGTAGCCATTGCTTCTTCATAAGGAACATGCCAAAGAGGATTAGATGATGTCAATATACTCAATGTTAATTCAGGTACAAGAAGACAAGCACGATGGACGGGTGGTAGAAGATGATTAAGAATATACTCGCATGTTTTCATTTGCATACTCTTTAGTTTTTCTTTCTGAAGTTAAAGAAAGAGAATGTTCAATTATTGAAGCCATTCGACGAAAAATTCATAAATAACAATTGGTAAATAATATTTCAAATAATAAAATCTCTTGAAAATAACGAGTCTTCATGCATTCAATCGAAAACCAAACATCAACAAACGAGCCAAAAAGGCATACTTAGCCATATTCTATATGAGCTATCATTCAAGATTCGTTTATTTAGAAAAAAAAACAGTAATTTATAGCTGAATATTTTTTTCAACAAAAAAATCTACATATAAATACAAAATGCATACTTTCATTAAAACAAGATTCAAATATCATTGAGTACTATCAGACATACACCCACATAAACAAAAAAAAACGCAATAAAAGTATAGAAAATAAAATTGATAATTATAAGTGGAGAATAACCATCATTCATTGAAATATTAAATTAGCCCAAAAAAAGAAAAATATATGTATATTCATAAAACTTGATAAATACTTAGATAATCATAAGTAAAAAGTTTTTTAAAATATGGTTGAGGATGAGATTGAAGAGTTTGACATGCAAGAGTTGTACGTATTAAGATTCTTTGATCTTGTTCATCAATATCATACATTTCAGGAAATGAACATCCTTTTGGACGATTTGTTATTGTACACCAATGAGATTCATAAATATAATAATCAACATGATATTGTTTTAATATTGATTCATTTCGAGTATTTAAATTAATCCATTCAATCATTTTTTCCATTGGATAATTAGAATATTCGCCTAGAAAAATAATTCTCTACATATGATTATATGTTTAATTGTTCTTGGATATTTTTTTCGTTGTTAAATACTCATGCTGAGAAGAATCAAAAATAAAAACTATTAATTTCTATTTTTTCCATGCAATAAATTTTCTTGACCATAATTGTTCATTCATAAATAGACTTATCAAAAGACACAATTGTGGAACAAGAAATAATTTTAAACGCATTATTAATAAAGCCATTAATAGATAAGCACCTGTTTGAATAATATGATAATAATTCCATATTTGTTTATTTTCATTATTATTTTTTTTAAATATATCCATAATAGAATCATATCTTAGATCAGGATTGCCTTTTTTTTCTTAATGTGAACATAGCCTAAATGCAAGTGATGAAAAAATGTTCAACAAGTATGGTTCCAATGCGGCAGATGAAACATTGAGCACATTGTAACGGATCGAATACTCTGATTTTGCTTTTGTCATGATAGGTAGATAATGGATGTTTTTCAAATAGGATCATATCTATTTTATGTTTAGGAAATATTACAGAAGAACAACAAATAATAAAATAACCATTCTACGAATAATAATAACCTATCAATCTGAAATTAGTATCGCAAATGTTAGTCATTATTAATCAATTGTATTCTTCTTGAGAGATTTTACACATTTCCCAATAGACGAGAGTAATAAAAAAAATATTGACTTTGAAATCAGGGATACAATTAGAAACATTAATGTTCGACATTGAGTAATAGAATAAAAATCATTATTTCATACAGATAATATTAATCATATGAAAGTTATATAGTAAGCGACTACTTTTCGGTTAAATGAAATGAATCATAAAACTACAAATTTCAAACAGTAACCAACATATATAAATATATATCACATACACAACAGTTTCATCATTATTTATCTGAGATGTTAAGACTATTCAAATTTCAAACATTTAAGAAAATAAAAAAAACAATAAATTTCTCTTTTTATTTTATCTTATACATCTTGACTTTTGTTTAATAACAATAAAAATTTTTTAATCATCATATCAGTTAACAACAGTTATATAATGAAAGGAAAAAAAATAATTCTGATTGAGATTATGATTGTTTAGCTAATGGTGAAATCAAAATGACACCATCACCACGTACAAATAACATTGGAATTTGTCGTTTTGTTGGCTAGAAAATAAAATAAATATAACATATTTAAATAAACAATAGATATTGCTTTTATATACTCGATAAATTTGTTCAAATGTTTCTTCATCAATTTCTATTGTTGTTATTGTTTCTTCAACATCACCCAAAACCATATTTAAATGTTGATCAAATGCCTATCAATAGAGAATACAATCATTATTCTATTCACTTTTGTTTATTTACATGAAGACGACCACGTAATTCACGTTCATTACGCATTTTAACACAAACTCTTTCATCAAGACTTAATCGAACAAGATCAAGTGGTTCTTCAACCGACGTTGATGTTGTTGTTGCTCCCTATATTCAATCAAACAAAAAAACGTTTTTCTTCACACATGAAAATAATCTTTCTAATCATAGTTACTTGATCGCCTTCATCTGCCATGTCTTGTTTTTGTAAATTATTAAAATTTCACTTTTAAAAAGATAGATAAACGTATGAATGGAATTATGTCATTTTATTAGTGACATCTCTCATGTAAGAAGAAACAAAATAAATAATTTAAAGTTTAATTTAAATATATTTTAATTAAAATTAATTTTTATGAAAATGAAAATCTAAATAAAGAATTCATTGTATAATTAAATAAGATTAAATTAATTGAATGTTTTTTTTCATTGGTAAGAAAAAAAAAAGAAAGAAATGATAGAGGAGAGGTGAGAGAGAGGACAGACAAATGACATCAAATCAATATGGCGACAGACATACAGATTAGTATTACTTCGAGTGGTGTAGAAGAAGAAAAAAAACAATCTATTTGAAATTGATTTCATTTATTGAATTTTATTATTAATTAAGTAAAAATTTTTTCTCAAATCAATGTATTAAAATGAAATCAATCATGATTAAATGAACTTTAGTTTAATTGTAAAGAAAATTCTTATTTAATCATTTATTGAATGAATCAGTTTTTTTGTAATTTAGATTTATTCTTTTTTCTCGAATGGTGCCTGTTCACGGTATTGACGAGACATAAAAAAAGAAAAACGAACATCTTATATTATTTTTCATATACTCGTGGCTAAAATTCGAAATCGGTTTGTTTTTTTTCTTCTATTAATATCATCATCATAGAAATTATTTTAGAGCAAAAGTGGATCCAAGTGGATTCCAGCCTGGTCTTGTTGACACGCCTGGTGCTGGTGGAGTTTGGCAAGGTCCACCACCAGGTTCACAACCACCATCACAAAATCCAACTCATTTAATTCATCCACCACCTCCACCTCATCATCATCCTGGGATTAATCCTGGACGTATACCAATTATGCCACCACGAGATGTACATTTTCCGTAAGAGATTTTAGTTTTTCTTCGATCGATTTAAAAATTTCTTTTTTTTCATTAAATTAGTCCACAACATATGCGATCGTTTAGGTAAAAAAAAAATTTTTTTTTTTAAAATTTTTATTGAAATATTATTATAAATAATTCTATAGGCCATCATTACCTCCTCCTCCTCTATCGCCTGAATATCGACTGCATGATTTAAATAAACGTTTATCAATGAGAACAGAAGTAGACAAAATAATTATTATAAAAATGATATATATATATATATTTTATTGTTAAGGAATGCGATAGTCAATGGTGGGATGCATTTGTAAATGAATTTTTTGAAGAAGATGCAACATTAACAATATCAATTTGTTTAGAAGATGGACCTAAACGATTTAGTATGTTGAATATTATTTTTTTTAATTTCATATTCTTGTTTTTTCTTATTCAAAAAAAAAAAGGTATCAGTCGTATATTAATTCCACGTTTTTTTCGTACATTATTTGATGGTGGTGTTAATGAAGTTTATTTTCAATTAAAACAAACGAAAGAAATTTTTCATAGTCCAACAATATCATTAGATTGTGAACAAGCATCAATGGTAACTTGTTTTGGAAAACCGCCACATATTAAAGTAAGAGAAAAACAAAATATATATATATATATTTTTTTTTTTTTTTTTATTTTGTCTATTTTAAAAGGTTTGTACAGAAGGACATCTTATACTTGAATATACATTTGATGATTTAATGCGAATAAAATCTTGGCATTTTGCAATAAAACAATTTCGGGAATTAATTCCACGAAGTATTGTTGCCATACCGGTATGAAGTTAAATATATTCGAACTGTCATTCTAAAATTAATAAACGATATTGTTTGAAATTTTGTCTATATGTACTAACGAAAGTTTCCTATCGTATGTATATCTCGAGTTTTGCTATTAGAGAATAATTCTCTCTTTTCTTTTTAATAGAATGATAGTTTGAATATTTTTTTTTATTTTTATTAATTTTTAAATAATCTAATCAAATTAATTATATTTAGACGGATAATCCAAGTTATCTTGATCAATTATCAAAAAATTTAACACGAAGTGGATTAACATCTGTTATGTTGAATTTTCTCAGGGTATAAATTTATTTATTTATTTAATTATTATTTTAAATTTAATCTATATTTATAGTTATGTGAAATTCTTGAACCAATGCAAGAATTAATGTCACGTCATAAAACAACAACATTTTCTCCGCGTGATTGTTTAAAAACAATTTTACATCAACGTTGGTCAAAAACTTGTTCAGGTAAATATTAAAAAACAAAAAAAAACATTGTCTTTTTTTCTTTGTTGGGAGGGTTTTTGTTTTTCGATTTATGATCAGAAGACAAAAATATTTTTCTGTCAAAATAAAAAACAGAATAATTATCTTTTTTAACTTTTATTAAGAATTTCCTCTGAGTCCTTCATTTTCAACAACATTACCATGTCAAACAGTTCTAGTATCAGGTATTCAAATATACACGCTTTCACTTAATTACTTCGCTCAACACAATATATATTATTTTTATTATTTATAATATTAAATTTGATACTATTATTGAATGTTTTAATATTTTTAGACAGTCGACCACCAGCAAAACCACGACGAAAAAGAAAATCAACAGCAACAAATAATACTAATACACCAGGAACTAATAATACTACTCCAAATCCTATATCGACATCTAAAGATGCGAATATAAATCATTGTACAATTTCAACACCAACGAAAAAACGTTCACCAGCTAATACAACTTATTCTCAACCATCAACACAAGGAACAATAACTCCAAATATGAATAGTATGCCTGGGGTAAATAAATATATATATATATAAATGATTGATTATAAATTAATATTATTATTTAGGATGTAATGATTGTTGGTGAACCATCATTAATGGGTGGTGAAATGGATGATGAAGATGAACGATATATAACTCGATTAGAAAATACTCAATTTGATCCAAATGCAACAACATCTAGTCATCATCAACCACAATATCTTTCACCTACTCATCAAATGTTACCAAGTTTTCATTCACAACAACAACAACAAAATCCAAATCTTCAATCTATACTTCATCAAAAACAACAATTTATACCTAATTCACCACTTGTACATACAAATCAAATAAAACGAGAACAAATGTCATTTCCTGGATCACCTCAACAGCAGCAGCAATTACCATCAATGTTTTCTACTGGTGGTCCATCAACACCAACACCAAATGCAAATTCAAATATATTTCCACCACCCGTGACACCAATTAATGGTGATTTATCAACAAGTGGAAAACGAATATCAACAACATCAAATATTTCTGTATCAGGAAATAATTCTTCTAATTCTCCACCAACACCATCTTCAACAAATCATAATCAGGTTTGATTAAACAAAAAATTTAATTTAAAAAACAAAATAAAAATTTTTGTTTCGTCATTCTTTTATTTTTAAAAGAACTGCTTGACGGAATTGTAGCAAAATTTAAATGTTAGACAAAATAAAAAAATGTTTTTATTGTGAACGAAGAATTTAGCAACATATCTTTCGGTTTGTTATTTACTAATTATAGTCTATATGCTTTTATGACAGAAAGATAATATTATTTTTAATATATTAGAATAACTATAAAAAAAAGAAGTTGAATGATAATCAACTTAAGGAATTTATTTTCATCACATTGACTATCAAAACATATTTGACAATAATTCTATAATAGATTGTAGTTTCATAGTTATTATGTATTGACAGTTTTTCGGGTTTGCTCTACAGATGAAGATCAAAATAAAAGCTAA